TGGCACACACACACACACACACACACACACACACACACACACACACACACACGCACACGCACACGCACACGCACACGCACACGCACACGCGCGCGCTCAGAGAGGAAATGGCAGAGAAGTCTGACAGATGCGGCCTACCTGCTGGCTGTCTCTGAGCGACAGAATGAATTCATGACTCAGAGTGTCCAGGTGGGCCTGTGATTGCTGCAGGTGTGCGAGAGCCTCATCAAAAGTCATTCCTGCTGGGTCCGTCCCTTCCTGCTCGCCACAGACGTYGCCTCCTCTCTTTCTGCTCTTCTCGCCCAGCTGGCGCACGGCTTTGGCAGCCCGCCTTATCACCTCCGACCTCGCTTGGACGCTCAGCTGGATGGGGGGGAACAGAACAGGCAGGTTAGAGGAGGAGGAGGAGTAACATGAAAAAAAAAGCATATTATAGGTGGAGATTGGGTCATTTTGAGTAAAGTGACAGAGAGAGGTGCAAGAAATACTCATTTAAAAGCCAACACGTTGAAGCTAACCAGTCAGTCTAGATAAAAATAGCATTAAGAACCTGAGTGTCATACAGTATGTGTGTATGATGAATGCGTGTGTGTGAGAGAGAGATCATAGCTGTCAGCCTGACGTGACTGATTTTATTCAGTGAAAGCTGGTTCACCATTCATGGCGAGAAAAGGGGAGCCTTTGGCTGCAGGAGGTTTTACTCTCTTCATGAAAGCACACAGGCGCTGACAGGTTCTGCACAAACATTCGAGGCAGGTGCTCAAAAACCTTCTGAAAATTCACCTGACTTCACCCRCATCCCTGCTCACACAGCCTTCTTGAACCTGCTGGAGATTTCCCCTCAAACGATCGCAGCTTTCCTCTACAACCACAAGAGGGATCATTAATGTAAATGTATTAACACAGCTGTACACAGCTGGTACGCAAAGTGAGTAATTTGCATTCCTTTGAAGAATGTCACAAGAAAGTAAGAAAGAAWAATTGCCAAATGTATTTTTATTTTTGTTAGATTTACAAATGATCAAAAATAAATCATTTAACAAGTCTTAAACTGGAAATATCATGCTTTTAAATTGACCGGTGACCTGGGGGAACCTGTTCTCCTATGTTTGTTTATGTTTTTGTCTTCTTCTGAGTGGGTGTTTTGAACTGTAATTGTGCTCTGTACAATGACAAAGGTTCATTCAATTCAATTCTTATTTTTCACTTTTAAATCATTAAGTTGGGGTCCATATATTAATAATCATAATCATGATATATAATATTTATACAAAGCCATATATAGTGGAACTGCAATGCTTTGGTCTGAATTCCTCCTTATTGCACCTCTACAAGCCCCTCTTTCCTGTGGTGTGTCTCAGAGCAACTCGTTTTGAGGCTCTCTCTTTCTGCCAWTTTTGTATTTTGATAGCAGAGATAYRATTATCTAGTAGCGCAGAAACTTCTTATTTACATATTAATTAAAAAATGTCAACAAGGGATAACTTGTCMRTCCAACCTTACATGCTAGAGTCAGAGTCTGACCCAGAGGCAGAGGAGAGTGAAGAGGATGAACATACAGAACCRCGGATTTGCAGAATAGGCAAGCCGTAAGTATATGACCTAATTTAGYAGCTGTTTAGCAAATATTGTGATGTAYAGAGAATAGAGAAAACCGAACGGATTGAAAAATATGACCCTAACAGAATATAAATACATCTACACAGCACYAGGAGAGACTAAATTCAGCTTTTGATGCACTTCTAGAGAATCCAAGTTCACAACAAAATGTATTGAAGGGCTAAAAGTGGATTTTGCATWTGTCCCCTTTAACTTCAACATGTCATTTTTGGCATGCAAGTTAAAAAGGGAAATATATTTTTACTTCAACTAAAATAAGTTTATCTAGAAWTCAATATTTTGAGAAATAATAGAAAAAGAAATAGAGGTTGCCAATCCAATATGTTTCTCTTCATAAAATCTCTCCAGTGGGAAGTATGACAAGTTCCTGTTATCCGTCTCACCCCTTGGCCTTGTAAGAAATCGATAAGCTTCATTGTGGGGCACAAAGAGGTACTGAAAGGTCAGGCGGAGTCCTGAAAGTAAGAAGGGTTGATTCCCCCCCCCCCACCCCCCGAGGATTAAAAAAAGKCTGAAATAAAGGGAGCAGAAGGACTCAGAGGGGAGCAGCAGAGGACAGTGAGTTTCTGAGAGGTAATCTGCATGTTAAAGACCACAGAGGGGGAAACAGTGCCTGCTGGGAATTGGAGTTTAATTGGCTCTGAAGTAGAGAGGGATCAATCAAACCTCTAGGAGTCACAGGGAAAAAGAAGAGACACAAGAGAAAAAAATGCCGAAGGTATAGAAAAGAGTGTTTGTGGGGTGCCGGTGTGAAGAAAAGAACAGCCGGCTACTATTGATAAGGGGCACCGAGCCTCTTTAATTCTACTGCAGGACCATTTTTCACAGCGCTGTAATTACGTGGCTGACATTTTCGGTGAAATTTCATAATTTCTTTTATAATTCAGGACTGGCGTGTCTTCTGAGGCCAGAGCCTTCAAATGTGAACAGAATAATATGACTGAAATTAGGAAGGGACTCKATTTTTTTTTGACAATTCAAAAATTGAGCCGGAGGCACATGAGAAGACCAGCTACACAATCAAGAGCAGGAAGTGAGGAATATGACAGCTTGATGTAGTGACTGAAAATCCCCACAATCCTTTTCTCTTTTATAATATGAATCTTGTCTGGAACCAGCTACTGTGTGTGTGTTACAGTTTTAAACTGTCTATATTTCTATCTCCCACCAGTTCTTGCCTGATATGGTAATATTCTCAAATTTATCCATTTAACCTATTGGTTCACATCAAAAAGGTGACATAATAAGTTGATGCTGCTTACATGTTTGGCTGCATCAGGAGAGAAGGTGATGCTGTCCAGAAAATGGATAATATCAGCAGGGACTAGCCTGTCCAGGTATTTGGCACAGGTGTCGTAAGCATGCAGGTAGTCTTGATCGCTCTGCGGTGGTCTTTTCAGCTGCTGTGAGTCTCCTTTCCAAAACAGTTTCTGCAGCCATACTGCATGGACTGAACTGGAGGAGACCGTTGCCCCTCCACCGCCGGGTAAAGGCAGCCGATTGGCGAGTTTGGAGATTGACAGGACATTCTGACTGGTCAGAACCGGTTGTAGAGTGGCCAGTGGATCAGAGGATTCATCGGTCAACTTTTTGTAGTTCACACCTGCAAGCATTAGATATTTAAAAAAGACAAACAAAATAAGTCATGTAGTTTTGACTTTAAATATATTCTTCTTTTCAGCAAATGCAAAACAAGCATCATGGACAGCCAATAATTATTCCCTGTCCACAGGATTGCCTATGCCATAAGAGGTACAACAGTATATATTTAACTACCGTGACRCTCTTAAATACAGTTGTTTTGTCACGAGATTAGCCATGAGGATACTTAAACTTGGTATAAAAATGTGCAAGCTACAGTTGTCTACAGCTCTTCTTTTCCTGTCATATATTATAAATCAACATTTCTGGCTACTGAGAGTTAATTAAAGATAACTGCACGCTACATCACACCCGGCTCGAAGATCGAAAGCCACGTACTGTACACACACCTAATTTATGAATGCTCAAGAAACATCTTGCAGAGCAACTTCAGGAGACAGTGTGTGGATGAAAATTAAAGTAAGAGAAGGCCAAACTCGACAAGGGGGTCTTGCCGCAAAAAATTTGATTGTCGTACAGATGGAGGGACATGTACCATTTGGCGTCATCAAAGCAAACCCTTCTTTGGGGGTTTGTTTGTCTGCACAATTAAGCAACTAAACAGAATCATTATGGAATTGGTTTAGTGGGTAATTTTCAAATATAATAGTTAACAATTAAATAATATTTCAGGCTTTTTAATACTGATCTACCAATTTAGCCACATTTGTTAAAATCCGCCAGAGCAGTGTCCATAACAGGTCTATCCTCTCTCTATGTAAAGAGTCACTCTAGCTATACATCTGCTCAAAGAAAATTTTTAGAGAAACCATTTTTCAGGCATGTCTTAGTCCTGAAGCTTAAACTAGGAGTGGTCATGTTTTTCCTTTTCCCTTCTTCACTTTCACTGTCTCTGAGAGCTTGACACCTTGGTAGTAAAGACCAGGTAGTTGGAGGGTTTGGAGAACAAGGTCAGTAGAGGATGAGCTGACATGTGAAAATTTACTTTCWTTTTCTCTATAGGTTATTTTCTGAACATGTGGGTGTAATAATTGTAATTATCACAAAGAAATTTAGAGATTTCTGACTTATCACTAAATAATTCTCCCTCTTGGCTCTTTTTAAAAGAAGCAATGAAACCCCTCAATTATTATGCAGACCTTTGATAAAGCATTTATTGCTAAGGTCACAACCTTCCATGAATACAAATACATTTCACCAGAAACAAATTAAATTTAATAACCATCCAGCTTATTTGCTTTAGMGTCAAAAAAGGTGCAAAAGAAAAAAGGAAAAGGTCAGATTTTTGATTGGTCTAGTAAATGTGCCTGCTTTGTGTGAGAAACATTAAATACTTTTTGGCACAGAAAATAAAGATTTTACTGTGCAAACAATCTAAGCTGTACTGATGTATTTACATATGACATGAGAAAACCATGCATGTTGGATTTATGGGCAGATGATGTTTAATAATCCATTACATTAGAAATGTACACAGTAAAATGCTCAGGGGAGAATAAATGGAAGATGTGGACAACAAATACTGTCTCTGTGTGTGTGTGTGTGTGTGTGTGTGTGTGTGTGTGTGTGTGTGTGTGTGTGTGTGTGTGTGTG